ATTAAATTATAAATAAATATTACTATTTAAATTATTAATTATTAATAAAATAAATTATAAATTATTCCTATTTAAAAATAAATTAAAAATAAATAAGCATAATATCATTTAAATTATATATATAATATTAATAATTAAATCATCAATTATTAATATTTTAAATAAATTATGAATTATTAATATTTAAAAATAAAACAAAAAGTTAATCATAATAATATTTAAATTAAATAAAATATTAATATTTTAAAATATTAATGATTTAATTATTAATATTTTAAATAAAGAATCAATTTGTAATATTTAAAAATAAAATAAAATAAACTAATTTATCATAATAATACTTTAATTAAATAAAATATTAATATTTTAAAATATTAATGACTAAATTATAAATAAATATTAATATTTAAATGGTCAATTATTAATATTTTAAATAAACTATCAATTATTAATATTTAAAAAATAAAACAAAAAAAATTAATCAAGATAATATTTAAATTAAAAATATTAATATTTTAAAATATTAATGATTAAATTATAAATAAAATATTAATATTTAAATTATCAATTATTAATATTTGAAAATAAAATAAAATAAAATAATTGATCATAATAATATTTAAATTAAATAAAATATTAATGATTAAATTATAAATGAAATATTTATATTTAAATGATTAATTATTAATATTTTAATTAAATTATAGATTATTGATATTTAAAAATTTAATAAAATAAATAGTTATATAAATAATAAAAGGTGTTTTTATTTTTTTATTTTATACTCTTTTTTTATTCTAAAATTATTATTACCAACTAAATACTGTAATAAGTCATAACAACTATTTCTATCGTATTCCATTCGTCGTACCAAATAAAATAATAACTATTTTATTTTATTTCTATCTCATTCTATTTTCACATAATAATTATTTTATTCCATTCTTACCTATTTCATCAACCAAACATAACCTTAAGGAAGTTGATATTAGCTATTCCAAGCTTTTGCCAAATTTTAAAAAATAGCCATTATTTTTAGAATAGTTATTCCTTCCCCATAAGCAAACCAAATGAGAGGATAAAATTTTATAAGGAATAGAGTAGCTATTCCCCCAACCAAACATGACCTTATTGTCTCAAAAAAAAACTTAACCATTCCCCTTTTTCTTTGTTATTATCCATTCCATGACTAACACAATAGAGCAAAAATATCATTAAATGAAAATGTTCCTGTTTAATAAAAATAATTATAACTTTATCCCTATATAAAATTTTTGCTTTTTTTTTTGAAAAACTTTTTCAATGGTCACTTTGACTCTATTTTTTGTTTCGAAATTATTTGTTTGGTATTTTACAAATTATCTTCTTGGTTTGTTTTTCAAGGGTTTTGGTGGCAACATTCTCTATGTTTTGTAATTGAATTTCTGGGTTCAGGTACTTGAAGCTTCTAGTCTCGTTGTCTTATTATTTGCCTTATTATTTTGAAGAAAATAATAAAATATTATTTTGAGACATTATTATTTTTAATGAATTAAAAGGTGGATATTCAAAATATGTCATTTTGAGTCTTTTTTGTCATAATATCTTATGATTTTGTATTCTTATGAAAATATCATTAAAATATAATAAAAAATAATATTGTTTTTAAGTATAACTATGTAATTAAATTATAGTGAAAGGTAATTTAAATTTGTAGTATAAATATTTTATTATATTTTTGTCTTTGGATAAAAATAAATTAAATATTACAATAAGAGGTAATTTTGTTGTTTTATTATTTAGTCTTTCATTATTTCAAAGCTATTATTACCAATAGAATATTATAATAAATTATAATAACAATTCTTATACTTTTTTATTTTTTTAACCAAATCACATAATAATTATTCTATTCTATTTGTACCTTAATTTATTATCATATAATAATCATTTATTCCATTTCATGAACCAAACTTGTCATAAAATTTTGTTAAGAAATGTTAACAAAGTGTTACATTGGTTAATGTGATATTCATAAAATATGTCTAAGACACAATTTCAAAGTTATTATATAAAGGCCAAATTGTGTAGTCGATTATTGTACTTTATTAGAATGATGGATTTAATTTTTCCATTATAATTTATAAAAGTTGAGTTTTTATATTTTTTAAAATTGATAAGGCCAATTAAATGCATTAAATGTTTTTGTTATTTATATTAATATGACATCAGATTGTGTTAATGTGATTTTTTTTATTGATGCGATATTAAATTTGACAATAATGTCACATTAATGTAATAATAGTATTGATATGACGTGATCAAGTATTGATATAGTTTTGAATTATTCAATATAAGTTAATGGTTTTAAAACTTTCCAAAAAAAAGTTAATGGTTTTAAATAAAATTAGAAAATAAATAAATAAAAAATATACATAGATTTATAAACTTTAGGAAAAAAGTGTTATAAGATAGAGAAAAATTGAATTTTTATACTCTATAATTTAAAGCAGTAAAATAATATTCTTAAATAAGTAAGAAAACCACGTTATAATTAACAAATCATTATATTCAATTTACATCAACAAAAAAATACCATATTAATATAAATAACAAAAAATTGTTAATACTACTAATAATTAAATTAATATTATTAATTTAAAAAATATAAATTTATTTTTTACAAATTATTATATAGTAATTATATCTATTACTTTATCAAACTATATTAACTAATTGCATAATTTAATCTTATATAATATAATGTTTTTAAAATTTATAATTGATATATTAAAAATGATTAGTTTATATAAATTGTTAGTTTATTATAACTTCCATACCTTTAATAAGTAACGATTAACTCGAGAATTTTGACTCATTAAAGAATATGAATTCGAATGTACTTTCCTTTAAAAAATTTAATTTTTAATTGATGTTTATAATTGTCAATATTATAAAATAATTTTTTAAATTAATATTTAATATACGATTTTGAAACAGTAAAAATAACTACTTTTAGGTGGCGTTTGGTACT